GTTTATAAATTATTATTGGGTTCTGTTGATAAATTAAAAAAAACTTAAAAGCTTAGTTTTAAATTTCAAATTTTAATTGATAAAGAAGGATATTTAGAATATTTCAAATATTTATAAAATAAAAAAACAACTTATAGTTGATTAGATTTCTTATATGTTTAAGTTTAAATCCATAAATAATTATGTAAATTAAATAATTTTTAAACTAAATTTTAAATAATAAAAAAATGATAAGTTTCTTATTATATAAGTGCATTCACAATTTTTTAGTTGTATCATGTAATCAAATACTTATATTTTTTTAAAAATAATTATATCAAAATTTTAAATAAATCAAAAGTCTTAAAAGTTTAGAGATTGATATTATTCTATAATGGCAATTCTATATTTCAAAGACTCAATTCATAATCTCTTCAAATTTCTTTTAAGGAATTTGATTCATTGAGCTAAAATACCTTGCTTTCTTTAAGGATTTAATAGGAAGAGATTTTGATCACATGCAATATGAAAAATTCATAAGAAATAAAATTTAAAAAAGTTAGGAATCATATCTTGCATTCTTAAGTATGGTTGTTTCAAATATAATATCATGCTTTTAGACTTACAAATGCTCAAAATTCTTTTCAACATGTTATATATGATGTATTTTTTTATACTTTTCAATAATTTTATTCTTTTTTATTTTAAAAATATACCTATCTATTAAAAAATATGAAAGAATATAAATAATATGTTTTTTTTATTTCTATAAAAAAACTAAAGATACGAGGTTATTAATAAGGTTTAAATTATTTTTAAAATATTTTTTTAAAGACATTATTTCAGAATAATATCTAAAAGATAAAATAATCTTATATTACTAAAAAGAAAAAAATTAAAAAAAGAGATATATTTAATAAAATAATAAATTAAAATTATCATTTTTAAATATAAAGAATCTAAATTTAAAATAAAGTATAAACTTTAGAATTACCAAGAATATTTAAATTATAATAAGGCAATAATAAAGTAAATAAAAGAGAATTAAGAAAAAATACTTTATTATTTGATTATGAAAATAAAAAAATTATCATAATTCAAAAATATCATGATTTTTGAACATCAACCACTCAAATTAAGTATTATGATAGAAAAAGATTTGCCAATTCATTTGGCAAGCTTATCAAGCTTGAGAAATCATTCAAATTAAGAGTTGTTAAAGAAGAGAGATTTGTCAATTCATTTGGTAAGCTTATCAATCTTGAGCAACCACTCAAATAAAGTCTTCTCAAAGAAGCAAGACTTGCCAAATTATTTGGCAAGCTTGTCAAGATTGAACAATCACTCAAATTAAGTGTTATGAAAGAAGAAAGATTTGCCAATTCAATTGGTAAGTTTGTCATGCTCGAGCAATCACTCAAATAAAGTCTTGTCTAAAAAGAAAGTTTGGCCAATTTATTTGGGAAGCTTAACAAGCTTGAGCAACCACTCAAATCAAGTTTTATAAAAGAAGAAAGATGTGCCAATTCATTTAGCAAGCTTGACAAGCTTGAACAACCATTCAAGTAAAGTCTTATCAAAGAAGATAAATTTGCTAATTCATTTGGCAAGCTTGAGAAGCTTAAGCAACTACTCAAATTAAGTGTTGTCAAAGAAAAAAGATTTGCCAATTCATTTGGTAAGTTTGTCAAACTTGAGCAACCACCCAAGTAAAGTGTTGTTAAAGAAGAAAGATTTGCCAATTCATTTCGTAAGCTTGAGAAACTTGAGCAACCACTCAAATCAAGTGTTGTCAAGGAAGAAAGATTTGCCAATTCATTTGGTAAGCTTGACAAGTTTGATCAACTAATCAACTAATGTCTTATCAAAGAAGAAAGATTTGCCAATTCATATGGCAAGCTTGACAAGCTTGAGCAACCACTTAAATTAAGTGTTGTTAAAGAAGAAAGATTTAAAAATTCATTTGGTAAGCTTGACAAGCTTGAGCAACCACCCAAATTAAGTGTTGTTAAAGAAGAAAGATTTATCAATTCGTATAGCAAGCTTGACAAGTTTGAGCAACCACTCAAATCAAGTATTGTCAAAGAAGAAAGACTTGCCAATTTATTTGGCAAGCTTGACAAGCTTGAGCAACCACTTAAGTAAAGACTTGTCAAAGAAGAAAGATTTGCTAATTCATTTAGCAAGCTTGACAAGCTTCAGTAACCACTTAAATCAAGTGTTGTTAAAGTAGAAAGATTTGTTAATTCATTTGGCAAGCTTGACAAGCTTGAACAACCACTCAAATCAAGTATTGTCAAAGTAGAAAGATTTGTCAATTTATTTCATAAGTTTATCAAACTTAAGCAACGACTCAAATCAAGTCCTATTAAAGAAGAAAGTTTTGCGAATTCATTTAGCAAGCTTGACAAGCTTGAGCAACTAATGAAGTAAAGTCTTGTCAAAGAAGAAAGATTTGCCAATTTATTTGGCAAGCTTGACAAGCTTGAGCAACTACCTAAATTAAGTATTATTAAAGAAGAAAGATTTGCCAATTCATATGACAAGCTTGACAAGCTTGAGCAACCACTCAAGTAAAGACTTGCCAAAGAAGAAATAATTGCCAATTCATATGGTAAGCTTGACAAGCTTGAGCAATCAATCATATCAAGTGTTGTCAAAGAAGGAAGATTTTTTAGTTCATTTGACAAGCTTGACAAGCTTGAGCAACCACTCAAATCAAGTGTTGTCAAAGAAGAAAGATTTTCCAATTCATTTGGCATGCTTAATAAGCTTGAGCAACCACTCAAATCAAGTGTTGTCAAAGAAGAAAGATTTGTCAATTCATTTGGCAAGCTTGTCAAGCTTGAGCAATCTCTCAAACTAAGTATTGTTAAAGAAGAAAGTTTTTCAAATTTATTAAGCAAACTTGTCAAGCTTGAGCAACCACTCAAATCAAGTCTTTTCAAATAAGAAAGATTTGTTAATTCATTTGGTAAGCTTATTAAACTTGAGCATCCACTTATATCAAGAGTTTTTAGAAAAGTTAAGTTTGTTCATTCTTTTGACATTATATTTAAAATTTTGTTATTAAGTAATCTCATATTTGTTATATTTATAAGATTCTTTAAGGCCTTTTGTAATACTTCGAGTTCAATAGATCCATCTAAATCAAGTCTCATCAATGTACTAGTTGTAAACAATGTTTGGGGTAGTGGTTCACGAAGAGTAAATCCGATTAGACTTAATATTGTCAATTCTTCAAATACTTCCCAAAACTCTTTGTTGCATATTACAGAAGGTAACTTTATTCTCTTGTTGTGAAACATAGAGAGATAATTATAATGATTATTTCTTAGTAAAAAAACTTTTAACTTGTTTGCATTTTCTACCAACAATATAAGTATTTTAAATACATCTTTACTTTGCTTTGCTTCAATGTTACATATAAGAATTCGTAAAGAGCAAAAGTATAATCCTTTGATAATAGAACTTTTGAAGATATCTTTCATATTATAATCAAAAATTATACCTTCCAACTGACCAACATGACAAGAAAATAATTAGAAATTACAATCTATAGCTTTATCAAGTATTTAAACCATGTACAAATCTCTAAGTATTTCCTATTGCACCACAAAAGTAATGTAATATTTTTCTTAATAAAAATTAAAATATCTTGTACTTTATTATTTTTAAATATTTATTTTATGTCAATAATGGTACTCAAGTTATTCTACCACTATTTGAAAGTATTACCTTTGTTGTTATTCCATGGATTGGCACTATATTTGCATTTCAAATTCGTGTATCTTTGTATGCTTTTTCTTCTTCAACAATCCTCCGACCCATATCTTGTAATTGATCATGTACTTTTATTACTCCATCTTTTTCTATTTTTATCATTGATTGATGAACCAACATATCCAAAACAATACTTGCATCCTGCTCTTCAACTCCACTTTTCTTATTGGTCCATATTTGTATTATAGTCTCTTTCATTGTGCCACCCCATTTCACATTGTTACAAAAGAAGCAATATATGTCCAAAAACATATTCTTTTTTTCAACTTTCAAGGCATCAAAACTTATCTTCAAAACAATCTATAGCTTATATTCACTGTCTATTTCATCTCCATCCAAAGGTCTTACTCTTCTTAACTTTTGCAAAGCTCTTTCCCAACATTTCAACCTCTTTTGTCCTCCTAAAAATGACCCCAAAACTTTCAAACTCAAGAATAGTCCATTACAAGATCTTACAATCTTTTTGCCAACCTCAATAAGTTCTTTAGGTAATTCATCACCATCTCTACAAGAACAAGCTGTGACAACCTCAAACTTGCATCTTTATCAAGTTCTCCAATATCAA